GCCAGGCCCTTCCCTCCATCCCCCCTGGAGCAGCCCCCTCAGGATGTGAGGGCGCCCACGTAGAGATGGTCTTTACAACCACGGGGGAAAGGTGGTTCCTAGAAGGGGAATCAGGGCGTTATTCCGAAAGAAAGTGGAATGAATGCTGGATAGCGAAACCCCACAGACATCCACCCCAGAACATTCTAGAAGGGACCCCTGACCTCAGAATGGCTTGAGAACTGCTCTCTAGTATTGTGGCTTTCGAGCCACACATTTTACCTTGCAGCCTGATGCCATGTGTGTGTGTATGCACACATACCAGATGTACTAAAGTAAGGATTTTACAAAGCCACGTTTATCTTTATTACGTGAACACTCCTGATGTTTTCTCCTTCTATCCTGGTCCATTGAAAAGAAAACCAGGGGCCGTCCCTGTGGTATAGTGGTTAAGTTGGGTGTGCTCCGCTTCGGTGGCCCAGGTTCGCTGGTTCAGATCCCAGGCGCGGACCTACACCACTTGTCAACAGCCATGCTGTGGCGGCGTCCCACATACAAAATAGAGGAAGATGGCCACAGATGTCAGCTCAGGGCCAATCTTCCTCAGCAAAAAAACAAAACAAAACAAAACAAAAACAAAGACAACGAAACTGGTCATAACCCACCAACTTGGTCTCATCACCCACTCGGCCTGCTCGACCACTCTCCCCCCCACTTGTGTGATCTTAACGAAGACCTAACTGACCCCCTTGCTTCCGGGTTCTTCAGGTGATCCCACCCACCCAAGATAAGTCTGACGCTCAGCTTTGATTGTATCAAAAATTCTGCCGGTGACCTCCTGAATGAACTTTTTTTTTTTTTTTTTTTTTATTTTTTTTTTTTTTTTTTTTCCCCCCCAAAGCCCCAGTAGATAGTTGTATGTCACAGCTGCACATCCTTCTAGTTGCTGTATGTGGGACGCAGCCTCAGCGTGGCCGGACAAGCGGTGCGTCGGTGCGCGCCCGGGATCTGAACCCAGGCCGCCGGTAGTGGAGTGCGCGCACTTAACCGCTAAGCCACGGGGCCGGCCCTCCTGAATGAACTTGATCTTCTTTACTTTGGCTGTTCCTGGTCATTCCTCCACGTCTCCTCTCCTCCTTTCCCCTACCTTCGCCCAGGAGCCTCCTCACTTGCTCACCCACTGCTGAGCCCCCACGGTGCTGGATCTGGGAAATACAATGTCGAGCGAGGCAGACGAGAGGTGCTCGCCCACAAAGCCGATGGCAAGCGATTACCATGAAGTATGGTACAGGGAGGATGCGGTAGAAGGGATCCTAATTCAGGTGGGGAACTTCCAGGAAGGCTTCCTGGAGGAGGTGTCGATTAAGATGTGTGCTAAAGAGGAAGGGATATGTGTGTATGAAGCCCTGGGGGTTAGTTGGGAAGAACAGTGAAGCGGAAAGAGCCTAAAATGAGACAGTGGGGTGAGTTCCAGGAGCAAGAAATGGGAGCATCAAGTGGGTACGGGTTTGTGCATTTTGAGGAGGTAGGAGGAGTGGCTGGCCCTGGGTTCCTGGCTTGGGCAGTTGGATGGACGGTGGGACTGACGCTGTAATGGAGACACGGGGAGGAGGTCTGAACGGCCAGATGCTGAGCTCCAGACTTGCTCTGCAGAGGGCGAGGCCTCTGCGAACCTCTGAGCAGCAGTGGGTGGGCAGCCGTGGGGCAGGTGGAGGGGCATTTCCGTCGTGGGAATGGACGAGGTCACGGAGGGTGTGGAAGGGGCAGGACCCTGGCGCAGAGGGGCAGCAGCCTCAGAGGTGGCAGAAAAACCGGGGGAGTGACACTCCCAGCCGGGGAGAATCTCTCCCTTCTCGGCACTCCTGCAGGGGTGTATGTGTGTGTGTGTGTACCTCACATCTTGGAGGCAGGAACATCTAGGGGTCCCTCTGTATCCCCTGCAACTGTGGCTTACTGAACTCTGACTGGGGGCCATTAGAGCTGTCATGATCACCCAGGATCCTTCTGTGTCATTGCTTTGCCATCCCTATTATATGACATCTACCTCGAGGCCCAAGATGGCTGCTGGCACTCCAGCCTTCATGCCTGCATTCCAGCCAGCAGCTTCAATTTTTCCATGTGTACAATGGGGGTAACACTTGGAAGATTGTCAAGAAGAGGAGGAGATTGGACAGAAAGGTCTAGGGTGGAGCCACTATAATTAGTGAGAACCTCCCAGAGGCTCTTGGTAGGATTGGGTTACCCTTGTTGTACAGCGCCTGTGCCCCAGGGCACTACCCAGTGGGCCCTTCGAGGGACTTGACGGCCTCTGGGCCTTCAGCGGGCTCCCCTCCTCATCTCCTCTCTGGCTCCTGGGGCAGTAATCATGTGGGCATCACCCGTGCTCACGGGCCCCACCAGCCACTCAGGCCCCAAGGGCAGGGCGCGGAGACTCTGTCGCCCTGGCACCCGGCCTGGCTCTCCGAGGGGGAGGGCTTCGGGGTCTCAGGCTGGAGGGGCCTGAAATCATGACCCACGAGACGCGGGGGCCAGTCTGGGTCCCGCTGGGATGTCAGAGCCTGGCTGGGAGTCGGCACAGAGTCAGGGCCCGGCCACCCGGCTGAAGGGGAGGCTGTGTGGTCAGGTCCCGGGAGCTCCCCGGGATCAGCCCCAAAATGTGTGGGGCCCAGTGAAAAATGAAAGCTCGGGCCCTCGGTTGAAAAATTAAGAATTTCAAGATTTCAAGAGCAAAGCACCAGGCCAGACGCAGGCCCCAGAGTTCCAGCCCAGGGAAGTGACGGACGGTTCCTGTGTCGCCTGGGGCCCAGGGCCTCCTCCTGGGACAGAGGGGCTGGGGCTGAGGCCGAGGCCAAGGCCGAGCACCTCTGGGGGCACGGGGGGCACTGGGTGGGCATTGAGAGGCAGCTTTTAGGGATGGCTGACCGGGAGCTGCGTCCACGTTTCCAGAACATTCTCCCGCCTGTGGGCCCTTCCCAGTTGCTGAGCCTGTCGCTCTCCTGCAGGGTTTCTTCAGTGCCCCACAATCGCCTGTGTGGGTCCCCAGAGAGGGGATGGTCACAACGGTACGGATTCTCAGCCCCCACCCCAAACCCACGAGCCAGGCTCTCTGCGGGTGGGCCCAGGAATTGGCGATTTTGGACCAAGTTCATGCGCTGATTCTTAGCGGATTCTGTACTTTGGCCCCCACCGCTCTACTGAATAAACCCTGAGAACCACCGGTGGGCTCCATCAGCGGCTGGAGCGTGGATTTATTCTCCCGTATGTGAAGGGGTTTCTCACCATCTTGAGCCCCGGGCTGGCCTTGCTAATGCTCCTTCTGGAACATTCCACAGAGAGTGGAGGGGGGAAGAGCTGGAGGCCATGCCTGGGCTTCCCCTCTGGGCCAGGCTGGCTGCCCCGGGGCAGGGGGAGGCTGGGAGGGAGGGCGCATCCCCCAGGCCACTGTGGGGGGCAGGGGCTGGAGTGTGGATGGGGACCCCAAAATGGGTACATTCAACGTGTTTATTGCAACGACAAACGAGAAGGGGCTTGGAAGGCTGGTGTCTTGACTGTCATTGGTGTTCCTCCTTGTGGAATCCTCCAAGGACGGGGCGTAAGGCAGAAACCCACACGTGGAAGCAAAGGCAGACCGTTACAATCCAAGAATTGTCCCCCAGGAGGAGACAAGTCTTTTAAAGACATTCTTTCTGTGCGGTTCCATCTGAGTCTTCAACTAGGGTGCCCCTCGTGGACTTTTGGTTTCTGAATCAGGCACACGTCTTTCTGGTCCTTCCCCCCGGCCCCTGCCCGCAGACCTGGTGTGGGAAGGGAGCTTTATCAAGGCCACGTGAGTTTGCATTAGTACCTTCGGCGTGAACGAGAAAAAAATATTGGGGACCGAATATACTGCAATATACACATTCATAACAAACCTTCTAAGAACAGCACAAAACTATGGCGATGAACATATTTCCAAAAAGAGAAACTATTGCATTTCAGAAGGCGGTGCTTCCTAGACCAGAGGTCTGTCCTTCCTCTTGTGGTTGGTCCGAGGACAGAACCCCCGCACGGAGCTGGTGCATCGTGTCAGGACGGACACGGGTCTGGAGTGTTTCAAATGCAGGCTGCGCGAGGCCTCGCAATTCATTTGTCCCCGGAGGAGAGCTTCAACCTCGAGCAGTCCCAGATGGGACTTGCACAGGGCCCCAGGATCGCGAACGCAAAGGCAGATATTCTGGAAGATTCTGTGAGCAGGATGCAGGCATGGCTGTTTGTGCACAGACTGGGCAGAGGAAGGCGCTGCTGGAACACTGACCGCCTGGCCCCCTCGGAACAAACTTATTCCAGACCCAGCGGGGTTTGGCTGGACGTTGGCTGTGAACTTGGACAGAATCCCGATGCTTCCCGTTGCTGATAAATCTGGTTTTGATTTTTAAAGACACCCCCGTGTCTTGGCATGAGCGGGCTCGTTTCTGTGACTTGTTCTCTGAGCCGATCGGCAGCTGCTCCTGGAAACCTTTGGCGTCTAGAGACGGGCCTCCCGAGGGGCTGGGCAGGGCAGGAGGCCATGCGTGGTCTGTCCACGAGGGACCTCGGGCACAGCGCTGACACAGTCCCTTCCCAGCACAGGGCACCAGGCTGGGGCCCCGTGGCCGCCAGCCGGCCTGGCACTGCCCCACAGCCGCAGGATGTCCCTCCTTCCTGGGATCTGCTGAGTTTTTTTCAACATCACAGTGGAGACTGGAACCAGCCGAATGGACGAGAAGCCCAGGCGGAGGCAGCGACTGGCCCAGCCCTCACGGCGGGATGCGTGGACTCGACCCGGCCTCCAGTGGAGGGGAGAACCAGAACGTTCAGAGGAAGGAAAGACAGCTGGGTGGCGCCCGGGGTGGGGCCCTCGGCCTGGTTAACAACCGTGTTCCTTCTCGAGGAAGAGCGTGTCCTTGGAGGAGTGCGCGCGTCCGAGGGAAGGTCACTTGGTTGGAGAGGCACTACAGCGGCGGAGCTCGAGGCGGTGTCCAGAGCCCGGGAGGCGCCAGGCGCTAGACACCCGGCAGGGAGTGGTTGGGGTCGCTGCGCTCCCGCTTGACCAGTGGCTCCCCGAGGCTGCGGGCGTCTGCGTCGGCCTCGCTGCCCCGGTCTTCGCTGATGTCATCTGTGGGGTCAGCGGTGGGGATGAGGGGGTGGGGAGGCACAGGAGGGCGAGAGAGAAGCACGTCTTCAGGGAGGCGCGCAGGCAGGGACAGGCCTCTGGTCTGGGCTCCCTGGTCCTCCCCGCCTGCCCTGCGGCGCCCAGGGGCCTTCCTACCCGTGACCTCCCAGACCAGCGCCCATCTGCCGGGCTCAGGTTCCCGGCAGGGTCCCCCTCGGTGGTTGGTCCTCCCGCCTGCACCGCCTGCCCCGCTCCCCCTCGGACGTGGGTGCAGGAGGCCCTGGCTGTGGCCCTGCTCCTTGGGGCCTGGTGTGGAGGTGCCTGAGGGGCAGGAGGAACCGTCATCCTGAGGCGCCACACTCGAGGAGGAGGTAGCAGGCCCGCCGCCCTGAGCCCCGCTGGGGCCCGTTCTGCAGAGGCATCGCTGGGAGGCCCGCTCCCCCCAGCGTCACCGCCCGTCTGGATGCCACCTCCTGGAGCCCCAACCTGCCCCAGGGCCGCCCCGATTTCCGCCAGGCCAAGGGGGGCGAAGAGCCCCTGGGAGGGCCCCCTGGAAAAGCACGGCCGCACCCACCTTTGTCGAGCAGCGTCAGCGACAGGGAGGCGAGGTCGTTGAACTGAAAGAGAGAAGCCCAGAGTCAGGCTCCGCGGAGCGCGTCTGGGGATGGGGGCAACGTCCTCCATCCACACGAGGACAGGCTTCCGCTTGTAAGTGACAGGGGTTCCGGTACTTTCTGGGCCGCGCCTGGGAGCCGCTGGAGGGTGCAGGGCGCTGACTGCTCAGGCCAGCGAGGGGACAGGGCTGTGGCCTCTGAATTGTGACAGTGGAGGCACGGCTGCCATTTTTTTTTTTTAAATCACAGGCTTATTATGTACTAAACGCTCTACAGGCGTCACCTCATTTCTTCCTTAAAACAACCCCACATGACCCACAATTCTGCTCCTGGGATCCACCCAAAAGAACAGAGAACAGGCGTGCAAACGGAAACCTGTGCACAAACGTTCACAGCAGCACTATTCACAGTGGCCGACAAGTGGAAATAGCCCAAATGCCCATCAACAGGTGAACAGATCCACACAATGTGGCCCATCCACACACTGGAATATTATGCAGCTGTGAAGAGGAGGGAAGCCCTGACACAGCCACACCGTGGATGGACCTTGAACACATGACGCTCAGTGAGAGAACCAGACACAGAGGGCCACACGGGGTGTGATTCCATTGATGTGAAATGTCCAGAGCAGGCAAATCCACAGACAGAAAGTGGGTTCGTGGTTGTCAGGGGCTGGGGAGGGGGTGAGGAGTGACTGCTCATGGGGCTGGGGCTTCTTTTTGGGGTGATGGAATGTTCTGGAACCAGATAGAGGTGGTGGTTGCACAACTCTGTGAATGCACTAAATGCCACTGAATTGTTCACTTGAAGATGGTGAAAATGGCAAATTTTATGTTATGTGTGTTTTACCGCAATAAAAACCCCCACAGAGTAGGGTGTTTGAGGCCTTGTATTGAGGCGGGAAATCCTGCCCAGGATCACAGTGAGCAGGTGACCGGGGAGTCAGGATCTGACCCAGGTCTGTCTGGTCCAGCCTCAAGCTCCTTCCCTCCCCCTGGCCTCCTGCGATGCCCCCGCTTTGGGCCCCCGTGTCACACAGCATGCCGCGCTCCCGTCCAGAGGCCGGCCCCGCCCACGCCCTCCCGGGACCCTGGCGCGGGGCCCTCACCTCTCCCATCACGGCGATGGGCGTCTCCCCGGTGGCCTCGGCGACGCGGTGCTCCACCAGGTAGAACATGTACTCGTCGTAGAGCAGCCGGATGAGGTGGAAGGAGCCAAAGCTCGCGGCGCTGCGCAGGGTGAGGTCGCGGATCACCATGGAGCTGGGGATGGCACAGAGAGGCTGGGAAGCTTCCCGGAGCACACAGCCCGGGGCAGGCAGGCTTGTCTCAGCTCCGAGCTTGTCTGGGGCCCCCTGAGACCTACCCACGAGGGGCCCGCCGCCCAGACCACCCCGTGTCCACGGACTGGGATGGGACAGGTGACAGGCGGCAGGTGGGAGCAGGGGGCTCTGAGTGTGAGGGTCTCTGACACAAGCCTCAGAGCCCAGCCTCTGGTAAGGGGTCTTCTCAGCATCTTTATAGACCCCCCCACGGCAGGTGGCCTTTCCTGGCCCCCGTGGCCTTCCCTTCTCCTGCCGCCCCTCAGTCCGTGCCTCAGGCTCCTAAACACCAGACAGAATTTCAGGGCGAATCCTCCTCCATTTCCCCATGCAGACCAGACCCCGCCCCCCGCCTGCTGTGGTTTAGTGCCGGCGTGGTGCCCCCCGCCGGCTCTCTCTCCCCCCACCTTCCCCCCCCAGAAAGCTGTGCTTGGTTTCCCCATTGCGCCAGCTTCTTCCTCCCGAATGCTAACGCCAGCCACAGGAGAACTGGAAAGAACAGTCGCAGGCAGGACGCTGCTTATGTCTGGAACTGTGAAAACCCTGTCTGTGCGGCTGCTGCGCTGGTGGGGGACCCGGGCCCACCTGTTTCCCACCACGCTCCCCCCTCGGCCCACCCAGCTCGGTCCCGGCGCCCCTTTCCCTGAAGGGCGCCCCCCATGGGGCGCTGGTACCCTGCACCCCCCACCCGCACAGCCTGGGTATCTGGTGGGATGCTTTGGCTCAAAGTGGCTTTTCCAGAACATCTCCATGGTCGCCTCGGGATTTTTGGGTTCTCCAAAGGGGCTCATAGCTTCCTGCAGGCAGGGACTCAGCGGACACCCCCTGCCCACCTGTTTGCCGTTTTCTGGTGATGCTACAGAAACAAGTCCCTTAAACCTCATTTGTATTCTTTATCAAAGCAACGCACGGACATAAAAGTGCAGTCACGTAGTGCTTCAGTCTTATTTCCTGGTGCCTCAGATCATGACATTCCCTGACAACTTCCCACTATGGGGACGGGGATCGGAGCCCCACAAACTGTCTGTGCACCCACAGACTCAGAGGTACATCCTCTCTTTCTCCCCCACCACCCCAACGTTGCTTTATCGTAATTTTTGGCGAAATCGGCATTTCCCTTATGTGGCGACGGGGTGTCAAGTGCACAGCTGAGCCACACAGTACATTAGGCTCACATATCTTTCCTTGTTCATTTATTCAACCAACATTTAGGCGCTGGGGACACAGCAGGGGACAAAAGCAACATCCTGGCTCTCAGGGAGCACACTTGATTGAGGAGGACACAGAGAGAAACAGACAGGTAAACAGGGGACGAGGTGACGGGACAGAGGATGAGAAGGGAGGGCTATTATTTAGGGAGGTCTGGGAAGTCTTCTCTGATGATGATGGAGCCACGTGGCTATCTCAGGGCATGATCTTGGCAATCTTGGCAGAGGAGGGCAGTGCAAAGGCCCTGAGGCAACGAGACCAGAGTGTTCCTCGAGGAGGGAGCTGGGAATGGAATTCCTGGGCAGCTGGCTGAGGGATCAGCAAGCTCTTTTTGATAAGAACCAGGTAGTAAATATGTTCAGCTTTGCGGCCAGACGGTCACACCTCCCGGTTGGTGACTGCTCATCTCTGCTAAGGATCGTAGACGAATGGGCGTGGCTTCAATAAAACTTAATTTGTACCATTGGGTGGAAGGTGATCTGGCCCACCAGCCATAGATCACTGATGGGCTGGATCACGCACAGCCTGTAAGCCTTAGAACGGCTTATCATTTTCCTGGTTAACTGCCTCCTTATTAAAAAATCCTCAATTTTCCACGTGTTTGTCACAGATTGAGACCAGAACTCTCCCACACAACCGCAGGCTCCTCAGCAAGCACAGGTGTGTTTTGAGAACTGCAGCTTGGAAAGTTTTCCTTCAGAATTCTGAAGACACTGCCTCCCTGCCTTCTAGATTCTGCGTTGTCGTTCGGAAGTCTGACACCGTTCTGGTCCCTAGCCTTCCAGTGTCACCTGCCATTTTCTCTCTGGAAGCCCTTACGATGGTCTCTCGACCTTGGCTCTCTGAAATCTCACGGGAGACCTCTTGCAGCCGGGGTGGGGGGGGAGTCTCATTCACTGTGCTGGGAACCTGGCAGCTTTCCCATTTGGACACCTACGCCCTGAGTTCCGACATCGTTTCTTGATTACGTTTTATTATTTTCTTTCCCTCCATTTTCTCTCTCTTAAAATTCGTATCAGCTGGATATCGAAACTTCTGGATTGAATCCTTTAATTTATTTTTCTGTCTCTCATGTTTTTCTTTCATGATTTCTCTCTCTCACATTTTTCTTTCTTTCTCCATGTTCTTCTCTTTCGTATTTACTTTCTGTGATGGTTAGTTTTTTTTTTTTTTGTTTTTT